GTAGTAGTAGTAGTAGTAGCGGTAGTACTAGTGGTAGTAGTAGTAGTAGTAGCAGCAGCAGCGGCAGCAGCAGTAGTAGTAGATGCCCTGGGTCCACTGGTGAAGCGACTGCTGCACCCTTCAATTCAACTTGTCGTCCCATCATGTAGCTTCGGTCGGGTTTTGCTACAGTTATCTTGAAGGCGCACGTTTAGTTTCCACTGACTGGGAGTCTACCGTGTACTACGTTAACCTCAGTAAAGTCGTGGAATCTGTTATGATGCTTGCTTTGATCCTTTTCGCTCGTTGACCACTCCTCCTACAAGTCACACAGAACTCGTGGGATTCGTAACTAGCATGACAGCACCTGTCCATCGAAGTTGAGTCTTCAAGATGAGAAGGGGCTTCTAGGGGGCGGGGTTCAAACGTTTGGCGACACTCAAGAACTAATGCATTACCCGTCATCAGAGGTGGTCTCGACGCACTGAATAACGGCTTACGATGTGAATGGCGGACCCCATTGTTGAAAACTCGACCCAGATTGGGCGCTGACGTGAATATCCCGAGCTCAAAGAACTCAAAGGACTAACTCATTTGCGCCTCGCTACCTGATTGGCTGCAGTGTCCTGTCACCGATATTGTATTGGAGATGCCCAACAACAACGAGCCCGCAGACGGCGGCATCCCTCTGAAGTTTACGATCCCCGTACTGAAACCCGACTCGATGGGATTACTGAACAAGTATGGCAGAATCAGATTCTTACTGACGAGTGTGATCCGGACGTCCTTTTTTGTCCTACTTAGGGAGAATGAACTGAAGAGCGGGAACTACTGCAGTATTACTTTCGTCGATACTTAACGGAGGCATTCCTTGCCGCCAGTCTCAAGCCGGTTTCAGGTCTGGGTATGGGCGCACCGACAAAGCGTTCGCAATACAGTGCATTCTCAAACATCGTAGTAGCTAACGGTCGCCGCTTTCATGAAGTCGTTGTGGCATTTAATTCCGGTCATGATGAGTCCTTGAGGCAGGTGATAGAGCTAGACGATGTGTCGGCAAAACAGTCGCTATGGCCAAGACCTACTGTCGCACCACCACTGCCAGAGTTCCTATCCACAAGAACCTCTCAGTCGTTCAACAGGGTTAAGTCCTGATACCCACCGGACTTCACTACGTTGTCTGTTTAGTGTCTAATTTGCATCAGGAAACTTTAAGTGACCTTATGTACCCAAGTTTATTTTCTGTCGAGGAAAAATTGACCCAGGCATAGTTTTCAGTTCCTTATTACCAGTGGCGTCTAGTCGGAAGTAAAGAATCCGAGAGCAGGATAACAGACCGTCTGTCTCGAAGATTGTAAGTGATTACAAAGGCATTTGAAGATTTTGCGACACTGCCGATACTGAATCGGTGTTCCGATTACATGTGGACGACCCGGACACAGCGATGTATATGCTAACTCGCAGAAGAGTTACCTTATTGTTTGTGAATGGAAATTTGAGAGGGAGAAAACAATGAGGGATCTGCCAGAATTAGGCCTCGGATCTAATGCACATTCGCGATCCCTCGCTGTGCGCGAGTCTGGTGTGGAAAAGCAGAGCTGCCTAAGCAACTCCATGTTCAGTTCAATTTGATGTATACAAAGGTCCTGAGGCTTTTATATCTGAGTAAGGAAAAACAAGACTAGTTATGCACTGGATCGATTTGTTTATTTGTCTGAGCCCTCAAACACGAAGCATCGACTGACTAACTTCTCATCCAAAGCCCAGGCTTTAACCAATTATCGGCGTGGGCGATTACCTTTGTGGTTGCGAAGTGAGACTCGTAATCCGTCTCGAAGGTGAGGGCGGTCACTCGCAATAATCTATCACCCCATCGTACGGCCAAATCACGTATGCATGATCCATGCATGCGTTCAGTCCGACCAGTGTAATCGTGAGGACAGTTTAGGTACTGGATAAGATATACTACGACTGACTGTCTCCTTGGACTTAATCAGCCCACGCCAGAAACAAGTCAAGTCGAGAGTGGATTAAGGTCTGGGCCTTGGATAAGAACCCAGTCAATCGAGGCATCGACTTGGCGGCGGCATATAGAACCCTGCGCAGCCACGGCCGCGTCGATGAAAGTTGGTTGGCAAACACCCTCTACATCTGTTATCTGTCCTGTTGCTGCTTTTATATCGCACGATGGACTACTGCATGGGTTCGAGATATCAGAGAGATAAACGAATTCTTTTGGTGCCCGACCAGTCTTGTTCTTTCCTTCACATACAGATACCCAGAATTCGAAAATTCGCCTCCACATCTCACAGAAGCGATCGTACTCTGCCCTCATTCTCTACATAGAGCTGTATAGCCGTCTTTATCCACACGCAATGGTAACACTGACTAACCTAAGATGTCCCTTAGATTATACAAGCTAAGCTATAGATCAATCTGATACTATTCAGTTCAGTCGGGCAATAACAAAGAGCTTCCAGGTAAGAGATTTGCGAGTTCAGAGGCATGTTTTGAGTTACCTTATGGGAAAATACTAAAAGAATGAAAGTGTTATATAAAATACGTGATTTCAGCAAACAACCAGACCAAAAACATCAACAACAAGTTTTGTATGACAGTATTATCTATTTATAGAAAAATAGGCGACATGTCTGGTAAATGCAAACGTGACGGCAAATATGCTCTCCACTGAACTAGCTCTCCATGGTTTGCACGTAGAGGCGATCGAATTGGGCAGTAAGGTTTACAGTATAACAGTACTGTTCCAGATCAAACATGCTGCTAGCCTCTCGTGAGAAGATAATAAGATCGGA